TGGCCAATCTCAGTTGACAATGCAAACTCATCAGGTGGTCCAAGGCTCCCATGGTCCAAGTCCTCATTTAATCTCTCTGTCTACTGCCACTGGACATGCCTCTTTCCACCACAAGCTTAACCGACAGCCCCTGGCATCACTTTCCAAGCCACCTGGGAGGAAGAAGAGGAGGAGAAGCTGCGGAGAAGCCTTGAATTGTAGTTGAGACACATCACCCAGGTGTCTTACTACCCCTTCTTTGTCCAAGAAGAAACAGGACAGGCATTTCGCTGTGCCTCTTAGATTCATAATTTACAGGGTTATCAGTTGCCATCAAATCAATTGTGACTCATTGTCACCCTATGTGTGTCAGAGTAGAACTGTAGGGAACAGTAGAACTGTTCCTAGATTGTCCGTGGCTGTGATCTGCTGTCCAGTGGGTCTGGTTTTGCTGTGCATCGATTGGAAGTAGGTGGCCAGGACCATCTTTCTTCTTCTTTTTTAATCATTTTATTGGAGGCTGTTAGAGCTCCATACAGCAATTGTATCAAGTGTATTTGTACGTATGTTGCCATCATTTTCAAAACATTTTCTTTCTACTTGAGCCCTTTGTGTCAGCTTCTCTTTTTTTCCCGCTCCATGCCCCATCCTCCCATCCTCGTGAACCCTTGATAAATTATTTTCATACCTTATACCATCTTCTGTCGCCCTTCACCAATGTTTCTTTTGTTCGTCACCCTAGAGGAGCAGGGGTGGTGGTGGATGTTATATGTTTTGGTCTGATAAGCTAATCCCGTAGACACCTTGTGATCACACAGGCTAGTGTGCTTCTTCCATATGGGCTTTGTTGCTTCCCTGCTAGATGGCCACTTGTTTAACTTCAAGCCTTAAAGACACTATATCTTTTGATAGCCGGGCACCATCAGCTTTCTTCACTGCATTTGCTTATGCACCCATTTTTTCTTCAGAGATCATGTCAGGAAGGTGAGCATCACAGAATGCCAAGTTATTAAAACAAAGTGTTATAGCATTGAGGGAGTGCTTGCGTAGAGACTCAATGTCCATCTGCTACCTTAAAACATAGTATTTGAATATATATGTATGTAATAGACCTATATCTCTATTCTTATACATTAATATATTTACATACATATATGCCTATATTTATACTTCTATAAAGTCTTTTGCCTCCTAGTTCTTTCCTCTATTTTCTTTTACTTTCCTTCTGTCCCACTATGATATTTGATCTTCATTTGCCTCTCAGTAATTCTTCTCAGCTACATTGCACTTGATCAATCCCAACCAGGCATTCTACACCCTCCTTGCCATTGATTTTAGATCTCTTGTTGTTTCTGTGTCCCTGGGTTTTTGGCCCCCACCCCCTTTCCCCCATCTCCT